GCGGTCAGAGGAACATGTAATGGTTGACAGTGGTCATGGTTGACAGTGGTCAGAGGAACATGTAATGGTTGACAACAGTCAGAGGAACATGTAATGGTTGGCAGCGGTCAGAGGAACATGTAATGGTTGACAGTGGTCATGGTTGACAGTGGTCAGAGGAACATGTAATGGTTGACAGCGGTCATGGTTGACAACAGTCAGAGGAACATGTAATGGTTGACAGTGGTCANCCCCTGTAATGTCTGGTTTCAGCTCAGGCTGCAGTCCGGGCTCTGGGGTCCGGGCTCTGGGGTCCGGGCTCTGGGGTCCGGGCTCTGGGGTCCGGGCTCTGGGGTCTGGGCTCTGGGGTCCGGGCTCTGGGGTCTGGGGGAGCAGCTGGGGTCTGAGCTTTATCTCCTCCTCCTGCTGCTCCTGCAGGAACAGAACATCACATGAAAAATAAACATTATACAGACAAACACCTGAGGAGGACTGGAGGTCTGCTGGATACTGAAACAAACCCACGGTGCTGGTGGGTCCAGTCCTGACCTCAGCACCAGGATCATCCAGGGAGGGATAGCTGGTGGTCTCACAATATTATGATTAGACTGGATGTGTAGGTTAAATTCACCTATAGAGACTAAAACTTTATTCTCCTGAATATATTACACACACCTTATGTCAAAAACTCCATTCACATAAAAATCTAGATTCTCATTTCCTACGATTCAAAATCAATTCTAAAAATGTAAAACCTAACTAACTAAACTAACTGGTTAAACTAACTGTGGTGGAACTAACCTAACTGGTTAACCTAACTGTGGTGGAACTAACCTAACTGGTTAACCTAACTGTGGTGGAACTAACCTAACTGGTTAACCTAACTGTGGTGGAACTAATCTAACTGGTTAAACTAACTGGTTAACCTAACTGTGGTGGACTAACCTAACTGGTTAACCTAACTGTGGTGGAACCAACCTAACTGGTTAACCTAACTGTGGTGGAACTAACCTAACTGTGGTGGAACTAACCTAACTGTGGTGGAACTAACCTAACTGTGGTGGAACTAACCTAACTGTGGTGGAA